ACAAAATAGGTAGGTAATGAACCTACTTAGTTACTTACATATTTTTTGTCACAAAAATAAACATCATTGAAGTCACAGTCAAAGTGACTTTTTGAACGTCATCTTTTTTAGTAAACTACACATTTCACAATTTATTATGAAAACTTACTTTCTTTTTCGTCATATTTGCACATTTTTCTAAAAGACATGCTCTTCTTTTTCTTTTGGAACATCTTTCTTTCTTTTTTCCCATTTTTAACCGACTTCTTATTCAATAAAACCGCTAAATTTGATCACGCAATCGCCGATGCAGTCCGGAAGCGACTAGCACAGATCCGTCGCTGACAATGGTCAAGGGGGGACTGAGCGTGTCAGCGGGGCGAGGTTTGCATATGCGCGTTAGCTTATAACAAAACGACGTAAACGACAAAATGCTTTTTGTTATTTTATTTAGTCGGAAATGATAACTTGAGAAATTCCTTCTACAATTTTAAGGAGTATTTATAGACTTGTCTACAGAGCAAGTTGAGAGGCTAAAATCGGTCCCGTTTGCCAATAAAATGTAAATCTCTATTTAAAAAGAGGTATGTTTGATATTTTTTTCTCTGTTACAAAAGTTACTTAATCATGTAATGAAAACTAACAAAATATGGTTTTAATCATGAACTGTTCAGGTCACCAACTCATATTTTAATTCGTTTCGTAATTACTTAGAAAAATAGAGATCACTGATGCCAAAATTTCCAATTCGTCCTCTTAACAACAACGTTCCAGGAATCTAGATACGAAAGCCGCCAGTAAACAATGAGCTATCCTCAGATTTATCAACAGTTGTAATAACTAGGTCGGTGCTGTATTCAGCATTCCACTCGATGTCACCCAGTTACCCAGATTTAGCATGGGAATTTGCTAAACAGAGGGATGTTAAAACATGGCTGGATATATAAGTACTATAAAAAAACGACAATCATTCATTGAAAACAAAACAAAGGGGCAGGGGCCTTAGTATATCCATAGTTATGATATTTTCCAGTCCATAATTTCACCATATTGCACAATAGTCCTGCATCAACCGGCGATAGTCATTGTATTTCTCATCTATCAAAGTTGTACAAAGTGCTTTTGGCAATTTAAAGAGGTTTATCTCCTTGAACATATAATTGGTTTCTTCAGACGGTCCGTGTAAGAACAATATATCGACCAGCCTCCATAACAGGCTATAAATAAAATAAATACAAGTTGTAAAATCAATCGTACAAGACGGGATTATTTTTCATGTTTTCCTTGCTGAACAAATACAATTTTCTTAAAACCGCTTTCGCCTTTTGTTTTTATTTTGAACGAATCTTGTTTAGCGTGTTCGTTCAAGCTCCATATGGCGTTTAGCGTTTTTACTTAATTCTTATAGAGAGTATTTTTAACATGAGCTGTCTTTGATAATTTGTTGCATTTTATTTTTAAAGACATTGCATGAACTTAGACATACAGCTAGATAAATTCCTTTTACACCTTGAACGAGTAAATAGCTCATGTTTTTTTAACTTGGTCGTCATGGTGGCCCGGAGGGTAAGGCTGGCAAGTACCAATGTGACTTTTCGTACTAATATGTAGGTATTATCTTTGAAGATATTTATTTAGTGAAGGAAAACATCGTACCAAATATGCGAAGGATCTCATACAGAGTACCTATATTAAATATACTCTTAAATTTTAAGCATTAATCACTATACTTGGTCAAGACGGATTGGTAATTTCAATCTTATATTTATAAATTCACTGCCTACCTTTCATTTCTTGCGTCGTTTTTCTTTACTGTTTTTCAGTGATGTCTAAATACACTGAAAAAGCACAAAAAGCTGAGAATCTGTGTATTTTCTTAGTTTTTTGTGGCAGGTTTCGAAACCGCAGCTCTATCTGAAGCAGGAGGCTAAACCTCAGGGCCACCAGGAACCCGCGAAAGAATTTCTAAATATAAGTCTATTCAAATATTTGTCGTGGTGGCTCGGAGGTCAAGGAACCCGCTTCTCATGCATGACGGTGTGGGTTCGAAACCTGGCAAGTACCAATGTGACTTTTTCCGAGTTATACGTACTTTCTATGATTATATACGGTGAAGGTAAACATCATGAGGAAACCTGGACTTATAATTTCTAATTATAAGTTTGAATTCGCCAACCCGCATTGAGCAAGCGTGGTGATTAATGCTCTAACCTTCTCCGTATGAGAAGAGGCCTTTGCTCAGCAGTGGGCACTAACAGGCTGATGACGATTTTCCGTGTGAGAGGAAGCCTTCGCTCAGCCGTGGGCACCTATAGGCTGATGATGACGTGATATTACAGTGAATTGTTTTCATACACAAGCCGCTTTACAACAACAACATTATATGACGTGAGTGCGCGAGCAGGTGCTTTGAAAAATAATCCGCTTGCAGGGTTGCTTTGTAGTTGGGTTTTCATAACTGAATCCTAGTTCAATAGCAATGCAGCGGATCGTTTTGAACATATTTTTTACTTGTTTCCTTTGTTACAAATATAACATTTGTTTGTAACCCTTCATGCGACCTTTTCATTGAGAGAGTATTTAAAAAAATCCGCTCCGGGAAATATTTTCCTGGAACTAACTTCAGTTATGTACTACAAGGGATTTTCGATGTATGTACATAAATAACGAGTAAAACCTAAGTGCATTCTCTGTTATATTCATGCATTCCGCGTTCCCTCTTTGTAGGCTTAGAGAGTACGTATGTATGTACCTGCAGGGGGTGGGTGCACGGTATCGGCGGGATAAAGCTTTATTAATTGGAAATCGGAGAGCATACCAAACTTTGAACGCGTGATATTTTCATTTTTTTACAACGATACGTTCTTCCGCACTGGTTTATAAAAGACGGAAAACAAAACCGACATACGACATTAAAAGACAGTTATGTTAAGTATATATTTATAGTTTTGAAGTTAGACATTAAATTACTCTTTTGAAAGTAAAAAAGGGTTTTTCAATCGGTCTAACAAGTCTGGAAAATTGGTATAACATAAAAATACAGTTGAATTAAGAACCTTGTCTTTATATCGAAATCGGTTAAAAAGATTCTACTCACTATTATAAATGTTCAAACTACATACCTACCATATTTTGTCCCGCTCTGGGTGGGGCGAGAGGGAGTATACTCTCTTACAGACTAATAATCACCCCGTTCCTTCTCTTGATCCAGGTCAGGACCGCGGTATATTATTGCGCTTGCATCCACCAAACAATCGTGGCTGAATATATGTATATGTCGATACGTACATAAACTTCAAGTAATAAGTGACGAGCGACTAACCAAACTCCGAGCTATTCAAAGATAATATAACATCGAAGTATAAACGAGTAGACCCGTAATATACATTTACAAATAAGTACATCATCGTATGAAATGCGCACACTATTACAAGTTGCTAACTTTAATCAATAATATATGCACGCACTGTTGACCGAATCCATTAAGGCCAGTCAAAGCATTCAATTAAGTTGGTGTAGTTCGGCTTAAAGCAGCTTACTGTATAGTATTAATAATTATTACATTTAACGCGCTTAATATTTCGTTTGTATATGAAACACGGCATTAAGCGGGTTCCATGTTAAATGAACAAGCAGAAAGTCCACAACAATGAAACTGTTTTTCGCATACACTGATTTTAACTAATAAAATATTAATGTATAAGGACTATGAGGACACAATTTGTATCCAAGGAGATTGAGATTGAGTGAGAAGAGACCCGGGACAAAGCCTATTGTCATTTCTACATTTACACTTTTTACTTGCTTTTTACCAAATTTCACATAACCAGTGTCGTGTTTAAAAGGATAGTCAAACTCATCGGACTTTGGCACAGTTCCCGTTTCCGTGAGATTTCATGCATAAAAACTTATACATAATACTTTTCCGGAATACGAAACTGACCTTGTATTTAATACATTACATTAACAACGTCACAATTAAAATTCCATTAATAATAATAAAGCCATTAATTATGAGGTTATAGTGGATACTAATAAAAGCGAGTGCTCTTCAGTGCATTCATTCTTGATACACGCCTCTACGAGTGTAGTGGTAAAGATTTAAACGATCTGCATATACCAAACTTACTCTTCTTGTGAGCAATTAGTCTTGTTTCTTGATGTCTTGATCGTTTATTTGCCAAGAAAGATAAACTCATGTACTGATATAAGTTTATATTTTAGGATTACAAGGATTTTTGTAAAAGCAACACGTATTTAAGCTGTTAAAAAGGGCAGTAACCATCACCAAAACTATAAGCGGGTTGTAGATGCATGGAATTTTCGGGATAAATATTATACTATGTCCATTCTGTAATAACAAAGTATCGACCGTGACGGTGACAAATACAATCCAAATTAAATCCAAAAAAAGATTACGTAGGTTAAACGAGATACAGCTACGAATAAAGACAAGTTTTTTCATTCATAATTAATTTTCACCTATGGGCATAAAGTCGGAGATTTCTTAATTAATAATCTAAAAATCAAAGGCTTACAAAGTACAAATAATTTCAAGAATAAAAAAGAGCTCCTTCGCAAGTCCGTGCAAATTAATACTTACCTGTAACACATTAAATGTCGGTCGTTTAAAAATAATTATGATATGTAAAGGGAAATTCCGAAAAGAAATTGATACGAACGCATCTAATACAAACCTTTCTGTAAGATACCATTAAGTACTCAATTTTCATAAAAAATGTTTCTGATCTTCAATCAATTAATTCTTATTGTGACCAATCACAATTTTGACCTTTTTAGGGTTAAAATTAAGAAAATAAACTTGATTTTTTAAAGGATGTATTACTGCAGTCTAAGGATGCTATAACATTGTTATCAGTAACAACGTTAGAGCCTTGATTAGGTACATCACTCCTTATGTAAGCTATAGCTAGATAATTTTACCTAAATGGATTGGTTTTTTACGTAAAGAACATTATGTAAGCAGAGAGGGTGCGTAGTACGTACTACTAATGAATTACCTGGCTTTAGCAGGGTCCTCGCCACTGTGTCTCTTTGTGTGTATGGTGCCTTTTTCCACGGGAGCCAACTCCCCGGTGCGTCCGGCGGCATCCTGGATAATTCCAGTTATTATTACTGAATTATAATACTGTTTTGTACACATAACAAAGTGTGCTATAGATTTATATCTGAAAATAAATATCGGAATTTTCCGGTTTTCTTCTTAGTGCGTCACTAGGTACAAACATTACCTAAAATAAGGTGTAGGTTACACAAAATGAAGTACATTCATAGTTATTGCAATTGCATTCATAAGTTACATAGTGTCAAGTATGTTAAAGTATATAATATAAATTGTGTGAGGGGTACCTGTGAACCAGTGCATGGTCCGTCGCTGTGGCCTGAGGTGGCCTTGCGCATAGACGTTAGCCGGTAAAACGGCGGTGTCTCCGTGCGCTCTATTAGGCAGTTGAGGGTTTCCACCGTCTGAAGCTCCGTCATCATCTCATCCAGCAATCGTTCGGGCCGCGACCGCGCCAGGTACAGCACCACGCGTTTCGCCTATTAAGTTAAAACAACGCTATATCAAGGTAATATTGAAGGATTGACATTTTGAGTTTATAATAGCAAATTCTCATTATGAGAATGCCCGTCAGCCGCGTAGGTAGACATTTTTTTATCATAACATTGTCATTGCATAATTTCATGTTACCGGGTTATGTTTATCTTTTTACTTTGGAATTTGATTTTTTACATTTAGGGTACAATCGGCGGAATTCAATACTAGTCTCTCGTGATTCCAAACGTTATATTTTGCTAGTAGATAAAAAAACCTATATTGGTCAAGCCTACGTCAGTGTAAATAATGCTTTATAAAGTATTTATTAATAAGTAATATCTTACTTAGGACTTGACGTTTTTGCTACAATATTTCGAAAACGGCAAATTTATTAATATTTTATTCGATTTGGAAGAAGGGCTTTGGTTTTGTGATGACGTATGGTAGAGGTGGATGGAAGAAGACATTATACAGAGCTAAAGTAGCTTAACGTAAGCACAGGAAGTTAAAGATTTTCTACCGCTGTCAGCAGTGTATCAAACATATGATGATAATAATTCTAATATTTGGCAATCAATTTTATTAGGTACCCCTGCTTTGTACGGTCGGGCCAACATAAAGGTCGTGCGAAGTAAATATTTATTTCACAAGTGGTTTAGGCGGGGAGGCACACCCTCTCCCTTTCTGTCAGTCTTAACAAAAAATTTCCTTACTTATCTCTTACTTTTTTTGTTAACAAGCCAATTAAGTACAATTAATCTCAAAGAAATAATAAGTCGAATTTATAATCGGCACGAAAAAAAGAAACACCGAAGAGGAAATCGTTTTAAGAAGATTATTGCCCTTGGATACCTACATAAAAATAAAAATATTAATGTCGAGAGATTTCATAACAACAGGTAAGTGGCTTGTGTTGTGTAGCAACGAGATAAGTAAGCTTATAGAAATCTGAAACATTATAGAAAAATGTTTAAGTCGTCGAAACTTTTACGAATATCACAGCCCGAATTATTTAGTTGTCCCTATCAACTATCAAGACCTCGAATCGGATTCGGCTACCATCGCATATGCGATATGGTGATATGTATGCTGTGACCCTTATTTATTTTATAAAGGTGTTCAAATCTCATAGAAATTGTTATCGACGAATACTTTCTCAACAGTTTTTCTGCTCGGGCGATAGTTATTACAGTAAGGCATTTTACGAAACACTTAGGGAGTATTCCGTGAAATGCCTGGTGTCCGACTGCGAGACATTTGTATATTACTATGTCCAAATTATTTATATTTATATATGCACATATGTAGAAGAGGGTCCAGTATTCAGCACAATAAAAAGTACTCAGTGTAAGACCCCACTCAAGACGGAGGTAGGTCTTGCCGAGTCACACATATCAACTCGAAAGGATTAGTTAACGTATCAACTAGACCGTTCAGTATTATTTGAATGAAACACCTCACTGCAACGTACACTAATCGGGTTTGTAACGTAAGTGCGTCGGACAAGCGGACCTACTGCGGTGCGTGTGTGCTTGACTTGCAAACTCCCGCACTTACGGCTCTACGTTCCTTAGCTTATACAGCTCTGTATAGTGCATAAGCTAGCTTACATCTCTTAGTCCGCACCTCTCCCGCCGAATGTGTTTCCATTTGATGCCATGGTTTGGCTCGACCGGAGTGTTACATTGTGTTTCGCCGTGAGGAGGCCCAACTCTATACCTAAATGCCCGAAATCCTAATCCCCAAAAGACCTTCAACGCACTCCTCACTCCTCTGAATTTACTGATTCATGGGCGGCGCCGATTGCTTACCACCGGGAAAGGAGATAGCATGTTTGCCGACCTACCAAATGCTACAGCAACAACCAACTCACGTATTGTAAAACGAGACATAACGATTCGCAACACACAACTTTCGGATTCAAAACTTCTGAGCTTCTGATTTGCATCCATTACGTGGACGAAGGAGAGGCGAGTTTTGAATATGTGTGAAGTGATCCTTAATATGTACAGAAGTACCAATTTCTATCGTTATTGTCGTTGTAAATTTAAGTTATAGAAATCGTCACATAGATATGCCCTTATTGACTTGTAACGATATACACAGATTTACTATTCCTGCGCGGCACGTAGATGTAAGTAGTAAGCGAAAGCTGTCTATCAATTTGTATAGGACACTATTGTGTCCTATATGCTATGCTATAGCACAACGCCTTCTTTCTCTCTCTTCTTTTAATTCATGGAAAGTTTATAATTCACATGTTTCATCAATCATGTGTGATAAACCTACAGGAGCGTATTTTATATAGCGGTCCGAACTAGTGAACTAAATCGTTAATTTCATATGTTTTCGATTATAACATACTAAAAATTTAATCCATTTCACCTACGGGTTTCATAGAAAAACAATTTTATTTTGTATTTTTATGTAATTCATACCTTTTAATATAGATTTGATTGCATATTCCACAAATAATATTATTTTTGGTTTCTGCTTCTGTGTATTGATGCTGAATAAATAAACTGCCAATAAACAGTTTTTTTTTAATTAATCGAAAGCTTCTATAAAAAGGCAAGTACACTGATACAAAGTACACTGAAACAAAAAATTCGTGTAGTTTATACTTGCAACAAAGAAATCTATCAGTGCCCTTACACTTAAAAACGCCTATAGAATATGTAGATCTCAATGTGGTATCACAGTGGCGAGTGTACTTACTTGGAATTATGCTATCCCAGCTACATAGGAAAAAGATAAGATTTTCCACTGAAATACAATTTTACCTATTTCGTACAAATGCAAAGTGCATTAATTTGAAACATCGATATGTAATACGCTAATTGGTGTCTTTATTACGAAAACACTTAATTCATTTGAATTACTCCTTTCTTGTTAGAACTCACATATTGCAACCTTTTTTTATTTATATTTCTCCTAATAAGAAAATGTCTGTTCTACTTTTCGTCCTAACATGAACTTACTAATAATTCGAGTAATTCCACATTTAATGCTATTACTAAGAATCGTTGTTACGAGTATCATTACCCTTAGACACCCCATTTCTTGGTATACACAGTGTGGCCAAGCCGGAGTGATACCACAGCCTCATAGAAAATCGGCGTGAAACAACCACAGCATTGTGATTCGCCGTGTGAGTCTACCGGACGCCTAACTACCCCTTCCACCCTTACTTCCTAATCATTAAATAGCCGAAACCCTTATCCCTAAAAGGCCGGCAACGCACTAATAAATCCTTTGGTGTTGCGCGTATTCATGAATTGCTTACCATCAGATAATCATCGATTGAAGACCTATCCCATAAAAAATAATGTTTTTTCACAAATTGAGATTGAAGTGTGCAAGATATTGAAGGGAAATATATTTTAATAAGCTAGTGACTGACAATGATATATAATATAAGAATATGTGTGTAAGAGAATGTCAGTAATTAAAATAACAATATATCATTTAGTCTTTTTGTCTGAAAGACGACAAATTTATGTAGAAGCTTCGTAAACACCCGTATCAAAATTTTATGAAAATCTAAGCCGTTTTGAGACTACATTAATTTAAAAATTACAATATTCCTAGTAATTTCACAAGAAAGTGTTTACTAATTAGTGACTAAACAAACTTACCTGGGAGCGAAGTACTACAATGTAACTATCTGAATACGATCATCTCATTTTGAATTGATTGTTGTAATGTATGTATATTATAATGAATGTTACTTCTTCATAGGCAAGTATATTTTTTAAGGAATTCAGCTGTACAAGGAAAATCCTGAATATTTATACATAATGGTCATATTTTTTGTACTAGGAGCATAGTAAAGCTATGTTTTACTGTATCAACGAGACTGCGTTGCGTATTCTGAGAATAAGTTATTTTTTTTATGTTGTTGGCGTCGTAATTTCTTTCTTTTTTTACAAGATTTAAGCAATGTGTTTGTTTCAATAGTATTATTTTATATATTCAATATCGATTATAAGTGATCATATTTGAAAGATATCGTTTTGTATTTTTCTTCATCAATTGGTACCTTAGTCGTTATCGTTTTGTGTAGTCGATACGCTTAAACATATACAATCATATACCTACATAAATCACATCTAAAATAGGTTAGGTAGTACACCAATTTATAAATCACACAAAGTGATGTTCTTGTTTGTGATTTTTTTAAATCATTTATTCCAACTAAACCATAAATAGGTACTTTTGAAACGTCACAATGATAAGTAGTCTGTCAGTCTGTTCGTCAGTGAAGCTAGGTGCTCATTCCAAATTGTAGATTCGAATGGAGAAGAACGAGCCAGAAACTCAATCGTTACTCTTTAAAAAAAAATTGTTTTACAATTTCAATACTATAAAATTTAGTATACATTATTGTACCCTTATGTGAGAACAATGCAGAAACAAGTTGTAAAAAAAGAACAAATGAAGATGGGACCTATCATAAAATTTAAATCCTTTGCCGTCTCGACCATGGCGCTCACATATGCGTACTTACAATCTTTAAGAGTGCTTCTATATAAACTCTTTGGATATATAAATTAAGGATTCATTATTTTTGAGAATTTTAGTAACTACTGACTATATTATTTTGGGTATTGTCCAGTGGAGCCGAATCAACAAGCTGCAACAAGCAGCAATCGTTAAGATTCAATATACTACTTGGAATTTTATGGTAACAATTTACACAGAACCCCATAAAGGATTTCTGTACTTTGGACAGACGGAATCGTGGCATACCCAGCCTATATTTGCCTCTTGTATTAAAATTATGTCTATAGCTTCTTTTTTCAAATAATTGCAATTTTTCCTTACGAACCAACATAATATTTTCATATATAAACTGACAAGGCATGTCAGGATATTTATCGTTTTAAATAATTCTCTCAGAGATTCGCGACGGGGCAAGTTATATATCGTTCTACTTCCGCAGCTCGACCCCGAAGCAAAATTCCGTACGACATAATGCTGTGAAAATAGCTAAAATAGACAAGCCTTGCTGTGTTCACGTCTGTGAGCTGTCTTATCTGTCTAACTGCAAAAACAGCAGAGCTCCCCGAAAGCGTCTTTATGTGGGAGCCCCATTGAAATTTATTGTCTAGTGTGATACCTAGAAATACTGTCTCGTTGACAAATTCAAACTTTTGCCCATTTGAAATTATGCCACAATCATAACTGTGTACGTTGGGCAAGTTAAGTTTATTACATTTTTTTTGTCGTTAAGTGCTAAATTATTGACTGTAAACCAATTATGAACCTGATGAATGGAGCTGTTTACTTCGTTAAAATTATTAGCACGTCGACCTACATTAAAAATTAATGATGTATCATCTGCAAACACAAACATACTTGGCTCAGTTTTAAATAGAAATGGCAAGTCATTAACATACACTAAAAAGAGAAACGGACCCAATATTGAACCCTGCGGAACGCCCATTCTTATCTCAGAGCCCTGTGAGTTAGAACCACCTACATGAACTCAGCTGCCTTTCCTCTAAATATAATTTTAGTAGACGGAGTGTAGTATGTCTAATCCCGTAATGATCTAATTTCAGCAAGAGTGTTTCATGATCAACACAATCGAACGCTTTTGAGAGGTAGCAAAAGACACCAACAGCATCCTGTACTTCCTCCCAAGCACCAAATACTTCCTTTATCAATGTGACACCGGCGTCAGTTGTACAACGACCTTCAGTGAAACCGTATTGTTGGTGATGGAAGATGGCATGATTATCAAAGTGATGAAGCATCCGAGATAGCATTAACTTTTCGAACACTTTGCTAAGAACCGGCAGAACAGACACAGGCCTATATGACTTGTTGCACATATGTAAGCTGTTTAACTATCGCGAACACCGTGCAGTCACTTGTCATCCTTGAAAACGCCATTTTGCATGATAAATACGAAAGAACAGAAAAGCAATAAGAATGGTCATGAAAGACAGAGATGCCTTAGATTTCGATTTATTTTTATATCTTTAAGTCGGAGTTAAGAAGACACAATATTAAGCAAAAATTGACTAAGGTGAAGTCTACTTGTTTTGACAAACACTCTACCTTACATCACCCGTGATTTAATAAAAGTTTTGACAAATCTTAAAAGGGAACTCATTTTTGTATATTCCTTGCTTGATGTCACCAGTCTGACGAGGTAGTCTTGTATCACCTACTTACCAGAGGTTATTTATTTATTTATTTAGGCTTACCAACTAAGACACATACAGACAATCTTAAAAATAAATAAAACAACAGTTAGTGTACGCTCTTAAATTAAAGGTAGGCTCAACATTATTTTTAGGTTGTTCAAGTAAAAGAGTTAAAATTAAAAGTAATTAAAAATAAAAGAAATTAAGAAGTTGGGTAAAACATAAGAAAACTGTAAAAAATAAAAATTATAAAAATTAAAAATTAGGCAAACTCTTAATGTCTCTTTTAAATACACTTATTTTACTTGCAAATATATCCAAGTCGTGTTTTTTATAAATGTCATTACACTTTCTGAGAGTATAAGTGAGAGGTGCGTTGCTGCCATACTTATTTCGGGTATGTTTCGTGACGAATGGGGTACAATTTACTAGCCTAGCTGAAGACCTTGGTACTTTTATTTGAATTTGGGACAACAAAGATAGACAGTCTGTTCTACTGTTTAAAATTTTATATTTTATATAAAAATATCAACCCACAATAGTCTCTGCGCCAAAGCAAGGATTTCATTTTAAAATGCTCAAGTCTATCATTATATTCTTTCACACTATGCCGTATACCACAGACAATAGATAGTCTTCTTAAGAATTTTTTCTGTACTTTTTCAATTCGTTAGACATCACTTCCACGATTGGCCAGTGCTTCACAGTTTATATGGCACGGGTTAAACAGAGAGTGCTGCAATCCGGTCTTACGGTCTCTCAGTGACCAGAAAAATAAGAGGTAGTAAAAATAAATTTAACTGTGCTGTCATGACGCGGCATTTTAAGTGATATTAAACAGTATAGCATAGTTTGTTGAGTACTCACATAGGGCAGCAGCTCGTTGGGTGCCATGCCAGACACGATGATCAAGTACCGGATGATGACCTTCAGGTTGTTGGGCCAGCACGCGCACAGCGTCGACCATAGTTCCTCAATCTCTTTCGGGTGGTTGTCAGAAAACTAAAACAAAATTCTCAACATTACAACTCTTTTCTATCAATAAAAATAATATTAACTCATGGAAACAAAAAAAAAAAAATGGAAAGGCAAAATATTCTGTAGGTAACGGAAGTTTACATATTACTTCTTAGCGAATGAGTCCGTTAGGCAGAGTGAGTAGTTAGTACGTACATATTTGTCAGAGGCAGTGTATGAATTAGTTTGGACGTAGGCTCGGTAATAGAGGCAGTAGGATGTAATGTGTTTGAGCACGAGTGCTCCGTTACACGCGCAGTTTGCGTAGGACGGCGCGGCAAGGTTGCCAGCCGCAGTGAGTGATGGTGCAAACAGAGGCGCGCCTGCCGCAATCTCGCGACATTACACCCTTTTGCTCTAAATCGCGTCGGCCTTGCGCTACTGACTGCGCGTCAACACCACCGGCCACTTAACGCGAGTGCCCGCCCTCTGCATCTATCTAACACTATTTAAATAAACATTGGCCACATCACTAATACACCTGATTATATTGCCAGTGATTTGTTTACATACTTCATAACGGGTTAATATTGTGGATTAATATTTATATTATATATTTATAATTGTGGGTTAATATTGTAGAAATATGGAAAGATGGAGAAGAATATATGAACGAATTATGAAATAAGATGGTTTCGTTCGTTCTTCATACTAATCACATATCTACATTTTATAAAAAGCTTCATTGCCCGGTAATTAGCTGTAACATCTGTTGGTAGACCATAAATAAACAAATAAGTTATTCTGTAAAGTTTTACCCCAATCGAGAAAGACCTAGTACACTATCTTTTACAGGGTCATTACTAAGTATAATAGAGTGTCATAACTTCAGTTTTTTGAGACGATTCGAGTGCAGGCATTTGATCTAAAACCTTAATTCGTTCTTGAAGGTGATTTCCGATGGGAGTAACGCTAACTTGGTCAGGTTCAATGTCAATAACAACTAGGCGTGTCTATTCTATTATCGGCAAAACGGAGTGTATTCTAATTGCCTCCTAGTTTGTGAAATGTACGTCAGAGCAGATTTAAACAGAAAGGACTAGGCTGTTTACACTACACTGTTGGTAGCAGTTTATTTCTCACTGCTGTTCGATTTGTGTTCTAACTTAATCTAACCTACCATTCCGGCAACAGCTCAGTTTTAGTGAAAATCCCTTTAATCTTTAGCTAACGGAATGGACGAGAAATTCAGATATTCAATTAAATGCTAGGCTAGTTATTCAGGCCGTTAGTTGAATGCAGATTAAACTAATTCGCTGTGTTCCTATAACCAGAGAACTAAGTGGAAAATCAGTCAAAATAAATGCAAATTTACTAGATTGTAGAATAGAAAAGTGATGCATATGTCAACATTTATTTCTTAGTGGTTTAGTAATATCGTACCTTGGCAGTGATGTAGAAGAGATTGTTTAGCACCATTTCAGTGGCTTCAGCCGAGCCAAGTCCCTCGCGCCTACCGCTCCGGCCTGCTTCTGAAGCGTAGTACTGCGAGCAAAACAAACGATTATCTCTGACTACGTCATGTGAGACGACAAAGCCACGCTAATCCAATATAATACGGTATCTTGATCATAATTAGGAAACAAATAATGCAGGTTTTATTGCAACCGATTTGAATCTATAGGTAATAAAGTTTAATATGACAGCGATTTATTATTTTAGCGTAATTCAATCGTAGTGGTAGGTACTTGTATGTAGGAGAGCGGGTTGGCGGGCGGCACGTTCGGGTCGACCAGTTCGATATTGACCAGCCACGGCAGCAAGTACTGCAGCAACAGTTGTCGCACCTCGGTGCGCGCCGTCTGGAACCGTGCCGTGATCTCTGCACGAAACGAAAAACACTTTATCGGCTATTCATACACTAATATACATAACTATTGTATATTAACTACTTCAGTGTAACCTCCATCTTAGTATTTGTTTTATACAAGTCACAATCAATCAGAGTTATACAGCAGCTTCGATGGTTGTGGCAAAATATTAGCCGCGTGTACTTACTGTGTACTTAAACTGCAACAAAGGCCTTGATTTTTGCAAAATTGCCTTTGTGCGAAACCCTCATATATCACGACATATCTTTACAGATTCAGACGAAAATCATCATTTTATAACAAGCTTATTTGTTCGGCGTAAAAACTCGCGTGATAACATAAACTTACTATAGACTTAGAAACAGGTCATCGATTTTATCTTTAATTTTAAAAAAACAGACAATCTCTTAGAAACGAAAACAATAATAATATAAGAGGATTTTATCATAAAATTCCGATAAGTTTTTTTTTTATTCAAGTTAAGGAGCTGGGCGCGCCACGAGCTGTTTATTTGCAAATAATATATAATAAAAACATGCGTTTATGAGTACCTACAGTTAAAACGTTACCACTGAAACTATTTCTATATGTTACTGAGGGGACAAACCATCATGATTGAATAAATAAATGTATTAATTTGTTTCGTATGTTGTCTTTATAAAATCTTATTATTATTGAAAATTATAGATGGAGTATAATGAAGTACAGTTTAGTATTGTTTGTTTGCAGTACCTGAGAACATTGGCATCGTGAGTTCCGGGTGTAGTTGCGAGAGTTGTCGGGACAGATACAGCTGGGAGCGGCAGTAGGTGGTGCACAGCAACACGTCGAGCGTGCCGCGGCCTTTGTCTGATGCTGCAACAACGATAAAAGAACATTTTACAACATTGGTACACACAAATAAATTATTTATGATTTTATAAGCACGTTTCAAAAGTACTTGTAAACGAAGTCGAGTAATTGGGTCTGCCGAATGGTTGGTCCGAACCGCGCCAAATAATGCTCTACATGGTGACTCGTAATTCTCAACACAATTAATGATGGATGTCAGATGAAACGAATAAGGCACTATGAATCTTTATTAACCTGAACTTACGAAAAGTATGAAGTATCATTTCGTTCCTCTTTATTTGAAAAAATGTCAAAGATACGAGAAAATACGAGACTGTGTAATGATGTCATATTTATTTACCTCAATTAACACCCGAATTAAGTATTACTAAAACTCAATACATGAGAAGAATTTTCCGAAACTTTATTGCATTAACATATTACACTGCATATGCAAACTTAGAAGATATACACGTATATGTTTCGTTGTTATATCGCACCAAATAAAGCTTATTTTGTTCGCAGGTCGCTTCAAAGTTGATGTTTCCGAAGTTGATGAAAAATATCGTTTGCTCTTAGATCTTCAGAGTCAGTTGTATGTCACTACGCGCACAGCCAACTATAAGGAGCTCCGTTGCAGTTTGAACCTAGCCAAACAATATCCCAAACAAAAATAAATATTAGGAATATTTTACTTATAAACTTTATATACTTAGTATTACTTGGACAATTATTACATAAAAACAAGGTATGCTATGCCCTGTGATCGATATATATTTTTTGCAAAAGCGAGATTTCTTAACTTGTTGATCAAGGTGGGTGTGACAAGTTAGGGCGGCTAGAGGCGGAGCTAACGGGAGTTTCACCAGTACGATAGAGGGGTGATTCATTCGAGCACGAGTGGCTACTGCGCGATAAGGTCCGGGGCTGGGGGTTAGGTTCGTAGGAAGCCGAACAGCGTAAACCACAAAGTAGCCAGCAGTCCTCGCGAAACTTTCAGTGCTATCACACGGCTCCGTGACTCAAACATGGCAGCAAACAACTTGACCGCGTCATCCTCGCGTACTAATAGTCAGAACGTCTATTACGAAAACATTACCGAGACTATTGCCAGTATATTATACATCTATTACACCCCTCTCTTGGTGTTATTAGGCTCTGTGGGTAATATTATCTCAGTTTATGTATTTTTCACTAGTAAATTGAGACTACAGTCTACAAGTTTATACCTGTCCGCGCTGGCGCTGTCAGACACTTTGTTCCTACAGCTCCTGTTACCACCGTGGCTCGACGCCATGCAAATAACTAACATTTTTCACAAGAGCGGTTTTTGTCAAGTATTTGTGTACAGTAGTTACACATCGTGTTGTTTAAGCGCATGGCTAGTGGTAGCTTTTACCGTGGAGCGATTCGTGGCTGTGCTATACCCTCTGCGGCGGAACAGCATGTGCACTGTCACAAGGGCCAAAGTGGTCATCTTATTGCTGTTACTGGGATCTTTACTTGCCAACATTCCGCTAATTAAATTTGCTTCACCTTCGATAAACGACTGCAACATTGATTTTGACTATTTAGAGCATGCTGCTAGATTTAATTTGGCTGATACCATAGTATCTTTTTCGTTTCCTCTGGGTATAATTATGATATTCAACATCTGGATCGTTGTGGGCGTTTACAAACGAGCACATGAAAGGCGAGAGCTTCATGTGGAGAGGGCAGCCTGGACAGAGTTTGGCTGCGACCGAGCGGCCATGGCGGCGCGCGCGCTGCCGCCGCTACGCTCACAACACCGAGTCACACGAATGCTGTTAATTGTGTCAACAGTCTTCGTAGTCTTGAATCTACCTGCTTATACTATGCGTCTGTTGGCTTACGCTTATGATTGGGTGAGTATTTGTTTATTTAGGTACATAATGATGTACTTTAAATTTTGTTTTGAGAAATATGTATGCCCGACAGTTTCAGTTTGCATATTGTTATATAATGCTTACTGTTAAGTACAATGCGATTGGTCTTAATGGTGAATGGCGTTTTGCCTTTAACTTAGTGCTAGTGTCCGCGTGACCGAGTATTATTTAGATTTTCGTAATGATGTTAGAAAGAAACAACGATAAAATATATAAATATCGGTCGGTTACTTTATAGTCTACTTCTTAAACTATTATAATATATTTATTAGGTTTAGCTGTGCGTTTATTTTTTGGAACACAATCAGGGCTAAAATACGACTTGCTAAAAAAAATTATATAAACTATGAGTTGCATTTCGATGCACGCATGACAAACCACGAACGATGTTCAAGTTGTACGCTTACTTTGTCGTATGTGTTTGAACATGGCGTTCTGCTTGATGGACATATATATTTCAGTGTTTAGCTAAGTACACATTACCTTGAGGTTGAATGCGGTGAGTTGATTTTAGTTTGTGGTTTCACTCAGTTTTTTTGAGAAAATTTACGCACGTAAGAAAATTTTGATTCAATCAATACAGAGACAGATTGTTTCAATTAATTTAGAGAAAACACAAGGTAATGCGCGCTAAGCCCATAGAATATTAAATATTAACATGTAACATAATACTAGCATAAGCGAATACTTTTGTTGTAATATTTCGTGTATACCATCAAAATGTTCAATTATAACAGTTTTATTACAAAGTTACTTTAAATATATTTATTTATTTATGTATATATTTCTAATTATTTATTTTGTGTATTTGTTTGTTAAAAAAAATTTACTGATGAATAGATTTTTATTTTGAACAGAAGTCCTTTTGTCGTTATCTAGAAGCAGAGGTGGCCCGCTATCTTTTACATTTAAGAAAATATCCATTTTAAGTTTATACAGTTTATACTAATAAGTACCTTGCAATTTGGTGTTTGCAAGAGTGCTTATGTTATCATGGCGCAATCATGTATAATTACATAAGTGCTATTTGCGATGGGGCGAAAATCTCTAATTACAATTACATATAGTAGTTACGAATTGGAGCTTCAAAGAAATGAAAGGTATTTCATCATAATATCATCCACAATTCGTCCACTGCTGAATATAGGCAGCTTTCGTCAGTGACTTCCAGATCGCCTGATCGGGAGCAAACTTCCTAGTTGGCCTCCAGCGACCCTTATATCAGGTAGTACGTAGCCTCCATTCGAGAACCTTTCTGTCCCATCGGTCTTATGTGCTCCGCCTTTGTGCCCCGCCTGCTGCCATTTCAGCTTGCTAATCTGCTGGGCTATGTTAGCGAATTTTATTTGTTGGCGTTTCTCTTCATTTCTGACTAGATCTCGGAAAAACTGCGAGTATAGGCCCTTCCAAGAGATCACGTTTTAGTTCCGTGGGGGTTTATGACACTGATTATAGTAAACTTCCGTCTTGAGGTATTGGGGTATGGTGGACGAAAAGCCGATTGACCTCACACACAAATGAAGCTATCAGAACGCAAATTAATTTGCTCAGCCTTTGATTCCGTTAACAGTGAAAATTGTTGCTGACTGTGGTAATTTATTTTTGTTGTCACAGAGTTCCGGTGAATACAGTGGCAGGTGGGCAGCGCTGCAGCAATTGGCCTTGCTCTTTTTCAATACAAATTTTGGTATTAACTTTATCCTGTACTGCCTGACTGGTCAAAACTTCCGCCGTGAATTATGTCAATCCATCCCGTGCCTTCGAACGCGCGTCCGACGCGACGAAATGCGCTTCACTTGCCGCAACGCTGCACGAACCGGCAGCGTCACAGGTAAGATTTCCTTCTTCGTAACGCACACTGCGTACATGGGCGAGTATGATGCAGGTAACTATAGTTATGAGTATAAAAAACTTTACATAACTTTCATTCAAAATATGTAAAATCGAAATACTCAAAATTTTTTATTGCCTATGCAATTAATACGTGGCTTTGTTCTTTTATTTTGGATATTAAAAAAATGTTTCTAACTGGTACCCAAAGTGACGGTTTGCTTGCAGTAGCTAGCTATTTGTATTAGTTAACATATCAGGTTTGGGTTTATTAGATATTATGTCTATTCCTTCTGATAACGAGGATATGATTAAAAACGTGGTTTTAGTTTTAAAACTTCTTTCTTTATTGGTCTTGATTCTGTGATTATAGGTATTTTAGAATAATGAAAAATCAATGAGATAATAGACAAATAACTATTTTTTTCTCAAATTCCATTCATTATAAACAAATTCTATGATAAAAATAACTTTATTCGTATAGAGCGGGAACGTTATCAGTTTCAAATTCAAAATTACACATGTTTTATTTCATTCATCCAACTCCAAGCGAACGCTGGCTTTCCCTCACCTATTGTCTTACTATTCTGTCTCGAATTACCACGACTGAAAGGTTAAGATCACACTGACAACACGTACCTATTTATAGTTAGGATTAAGAGATTAATTTCGATGCGCACGATTGACTTTAGTATTAGTAGGTACTTGTTTACAAAGAGCACTCCGCGATATATGGAATTGACTGAACAAAGGACGCGAGCTGCAAATCTTACATCCACGGTTAGCGGTGCAAATGGATATACAGGTACCAGCTTTCGAAGTTCAATCAATTTGAAATGCATCAAAAGCCAGCCCTTTGGCGCTTCCGTGACTATACGATGATATTTGCCTTGCACCGTTCCAGACTATTTATTTACTATCGGTTCAGTGCAACAAATTTTCATTAACTTGTACAAGTTTACGCGTCAAAAGCTCCGCTATACTGTGTCTGTTTGCACAACAAAAGAGACACGTGAGTGTTAAAACATCGCAAGAACACGCTTTTGTTGTTTGTAGGGTGAGTTGGAAAATAAAAAGATTTTAAAAATACGATGATTTTATTTTAATAAATTTAACTCAATTTCTTATTTAAAGAGATAGAAAGATAGGCGCGATTACAATTTAAATCTACGTTTGTTGGGTCTCTCAGCGAAAATTGTGATCTTATTTTGTGTATACATCACTATTTCAACAGTTTGATTTAAATACAATATAGATTATTTATAGGTATATCGATCGATACCTTACAAGGTTTCCATTGCGTTCCCGATAATACCTACCGTTAATATTGGAATATTCCTATTCATATTTAAAACAACATTCTGTGAGTACCTACTACAAATAGCACGTTTTACTCAGTATTAAATTTGGGGTACTACTCCAATTTTAAAAAACAATATGAATTTGGCATAAGATTACTAAAACGTGACGTCACAATTTTAGTAAAATATTTTTTGGATACTTAGAGTGTCCTAGATTAACTTTTTTTTTCCGATTTCATTAACATTCTTTTAATGCAAGAATAACAATAATATATCTTGCTACAGGCTACAGCGGTGTAGTTGTGCGTAGTAAACTTCGTAGCGGCCAGCGGCAATGACGCGTAGTAAGCTTTGTAGCGGTAGCACCGCGTAGCAAGCGCTTAATCTTAATGCTCGAGCCACACTAACGGGAAATGCCAATAATTATCGCGATAATTGATGATAATAACAATGAAAAACATATCTCAAGCCATTTGTTTGGTGATCAAATTACACCTACGATTAACGTCCATTATCGCGATAATTAAATGCATTTCCCGTTAGTGTGGCCCAAGCATAAGAGAAGCAGTATAGCTAGTTTTAAGGTTGTATGGAAACATGAAAATTGTTTTTTATAAGTATAAACTTGATATCTTCTTATATATAAAAATGGATCGCAAAATGTGTTGGTAAGCGAATAACTCAACAACGGCTGGACCAATTTTGCTAATTCTTTTTTTGTTGTGTTTGTTGTTGTCAGGAGAAGGTTCTTATCAAAGAAAATATTAGAAAAGTAGAGGGGAAGATTAGGAAAAAGGAACCCTTTGAAAGCGAGACAGTTGGACCCGTGCGAAGCGGGGGCGGGCCGCTAGTATTTGTATATAAGTAAAATATGCATTAAAATCACTTCAGTAGTTTTCATGATTTGTAGGATTGTATAATAACGTGCTGAGTAAACTATCTATATAAAAACGCAAGTTCGTAGATATTGTATCGATGGATGTTTGTGACATTTCCACGTTAAAACGTTAAATGTGTTTATTGAAAATTGGTACAAAGATAAGACGATACTGTGGATTACTAAATAGGCTATTTTTAACTGGTAAAGCGGCTTATATACGAGTATTGCGTTACAAAATTCGAATTGACATTGCGTTACGTAAAGTTATAAACAAAATCACAATTTCAATACGATGGCGATAGATATAGATGTTTTGTTGTTCGTAAATCGTACATGAATAAAGTGTATAAAACAATTTATTGGACATGCAGCGTGGCGTGGGTGTCGCATACAACGCACAATGTTGACAATAAACACGTCCGTGACATGTCGGTATGAATATCCTCCGATTTCAATGAATACGAACAAGATAAGCAATTAGCGATGGACTGTGCTGCATCATTGATATGCAATGTAATGCAGATACAGCTGAACGGAATTCTATATTACAATCTAAAATTACCAAGTCAGCTTTCACACTGAAAATCATGCCCACACGAATGTGTCTTCCACAAATCACCTTGTTAATAGCATTAGATTACGATACAATTACTGCGCGACCGATTTTAGGCAATGATATTACCAGTTAAAAACCCTCTGTAGTTCCGCCGTAGCGCAGCAAGATTAATTTAATAATACAAACTTATGAGATAACCTTAAAGAAAGATATTTGAAATAATCAAAGTCGATGTTGCGAGTATGTTCAGGTTTCAGACGACAATGAACATAATTCTTTAACAGTCAGCTATACGGTTCTTCATCGGTGTATGTAGTTCATAGTTTTTTGGTGTGATATATTACATTGAACACCATGTATACCTGGTACATGCAGAGGATTCCAAATCCTTTTGTATATCAATAGAGCACGCGCGTAGTCATCTGCTCGTAATACGAGCTTGTAACAAGTTTGTATGCATTGTTGTGTTTTTTACAAACTGAGGGTACCAGGTACATAGATAGGAAAATCTACTCGTATATTGCAACAATTAACGACATCATGATTCTTAACTTCATATGTAATATTCATTGTTTTTAGAAGACATATTTTTTGACAGCGTCGTACGTAAGCTGCAACGAAGCTAGCACATCTGTGTCCGCGGCCAGGGAAGTGTCCGTGGGTGTGGACGCGCCGTGCAACGTGCGCCGCCATCGCTCGGAGCCGTTCATTGACCGCTGGAGTTTAGTGACCAGTCGGCCATTGCGCCAACAGGATCAGGCTGTCGGAGGCGACTCAACTCCCGCGGAGGACCTTGGCCAAGCGGCACCCGACGTAGTTCCTGCCGTCAGTCGCGAGGTCCAGGAAGCTGCTCCCATGGAGAGGAGAATACCATACTTGTTTTTCCCCTACCGCAACTTAATTGCTTCAAGAAGTGGGAGAATAAATCCCACATCTGTAATGTACCACCATTAAATGACGACACTAGAATATTTCTGAAATTGTTATCGAACATTGAAATGTTATGTATCCAACATTCCGTGGTAGATAATTATGATGTACTATCCAAATATCAAAGATACTATAAAATGTAGAGTTACTAATGTATAGTAGGTTACATGAGTAGATGCGCCTACTTTATGATTATTGTACGGGTTATTAAATTAGAGCAATGTGTGTTGTATAACGAATTATAAACAATAGATTTGTATTTGTCTTAGTGGGATAGGGTGGCAATCGAGCTTGCGGATCAAGCGGTTCCACCCATGATCGCTCACGACACTATATTTGCAAGTGCGTTACGGGGCTTTAAGGGATGAGAGATTTGACGATGGGGGATACAACGCAAGCGTTGTTTTACCTGGGTTGTCTGTGAGGCTGGTTATCACTCCGGTCGGGCTGGCCCTTATGTCCGATGCATGGCACGGTCACCCTTAATAATTAACTAATAATATGTATTATGTCTTTTAGCTAAGATTTAGATATATAAAATAAAACCAAAGAAACAAAAACAGTAGGTATGTACTTAGTAAATGAGTGTGTATAGTTATAAGAAGGGAAAGTAGTTTTAAAATAGAATTGTAGCTTAAGCCTGGATAGATATTCTTTTTGTATACTTAATTAAAAAAATAATATTATATTATATGCTGACCGCACGCTGGCGCTACACCGTAAGTCATTTGATTGTTTACTTGTGTAGACAGTTAGATACGGCGTATGAGACATAAGACAAATAACTTTAAGTGTAAGAGGTGGTATCCGTAAATAAAAATTAAAACTTATAAGACCGATTTCCATAAAAAATACTTGAAAAAAGGTCACTGGTAAAGGTGTAAATAAAAATGCTTTACAACTGTTGTGTTCACATGTTTTCACATAACCTCAACTTTTACAATCAATTAAAATTATTATTAAGTAGTATTTTATTTTCAAAAATGATTTCTCATTTAATTTTCTTGAATCAAAATACTATATTTAAATAACGTCATATTAAATGTCGGTAATACTTTTACTTCCGGAATTGCTCTGATAACAGTAGGATGTCTCTCCTTCCCAAAGAAACTCAACGTAATGGCTCCTGTATCGCTACAAGCTAGTAGCCGTTTCTGGAGGCCTACCTATAATTTTGGTCCGAGGCAAGGGCCATCGTTTTTCCATAGTTATATCTACCAGTCAATATCCACCCACACCCAGAACCACATTCCACAATAGTCCCGCATCAACTTGGGATTGTCCTTGGGTGCACTTTCATAGTGCATAAGGGATAACTAATTGCCGGCTGACGTCCCATTTCACTAACATTAAAGTTGTTCAAAGGGCCTCTGCTAGTTGGCTTCAGCCCCTCGTACGCCTTCCAAACGTCCGGCACCCTCTGGTCCCGTAAAGTAAAACGAACGCACAAAATAATAATATTACTTTTCGTATTGGATATTACAAAATATTGTTCGAATTTGGACGCTACATTTCGGGCGCCAACGTTAATTTAATAAACCAAGAATAGCGAATGTGGAATATGCAATATTGTTTGATTCAGCACTACGTTTCAATAGTAAACCTTAATAATAACTCAATCAAACGCTGGGACCCAAAACATTTCATATTTGCTTTGTGAATTTTGCAAGTGAACTGAAAAAAAATTTTGCTACAATGCAAAAAAATATTTTAAAAAACAAGCTTTAATCGGGTGAATCAATAGAGATAAAGACATGTATCCAAACAATCAGCGCCTTTGGTTAAAAATATGAGCTTCAAAAACTAATTTCACGAAGAAAATCTTTTTACTAGTCTATGACGAGTTACTGCTGCGCTGCTTTGCATTTATACGTTGGTCAGAGCTACAGAGCATAATTTGTTTCATATAAATAAATTTCAAACTCGGTTGTGCAGTACAGTTATTTGATTATGTCATTAATCATACGTTCCTAACATATTACTATCGGTATTTGTAACATCAAAGCCATACCAAGTCGCAAGTAGGATGCAGGCATCGAAACTACCTTGTGTCGGTTCAGCTGGAATTTCCATTAGGTATACAATAGATTAAACGAAACGAAGCCAATCACACAATAAGTGAATTAGTATTGAATTCTAGTTAAAACTTGATTTCAATTACCTAAATTGGGTTTAGACTAGATGACAAAAAATTAAAAAGTATATTACAATGATTGTTTAGAGGAAAAGCAATCGCGAAATATTGTTCCAATGGATGGAAAGCCCAGGGATCTCGATGTTCCTTTTGGCAACGCAGAAAAATATACTAGATTGGAAATAGAAGCCGAGTAACGGGAACACTAATCCTGTTACAGACATCAATAAATAAAAAAGGATATCGCCAATAACGACGACCAATCATCGTAAAAGCATTCATCAATCGATTTCTTTAGAATTTAACGTAGTGCATAGAATTATTGTTTTGTTCGTACATGTATTATATGATGAAGGATTATATAAGGATGTGATTGAAATCAAATCGTTTTAGTTAATAGGTTACTAATAAGATCATATAAGAAATTATAAAGTAATAGATAAAATTACTTTAATCGATGCAGGTCTGTAACCACTTATAGTCTGCGATTATTTCATAAAATGTTAATGACCATACATTATAAATAACTTTTTTTAAGCATATAATTATGAAATAAAAATGTATGTAGTTTACTAACGATAAATGATATTAGATAAACATACAGATTGAAGTTTTAAGGTATAAGACAAAAAAGTGGTGGGTTTGTCACGTAAAAACTAATACTATGTATTTGTGTGGTAATTAAGGAAAAAATGTATAAAATTGATTATATAAATATACGTTCCTTAGGTATACTTGTACTAGGTACCTAAAATACGGAAATGATAACATTTTTGCAGTTTTACTCACTCTTTGGTTGCGTACGCATTAAAGTTAAATAATTTGATGCCGTATATTGCTTGGTATGCATACGGCTAAGAGTAGTTCTTTTACTACTTTAAAAGTAAACGTGATCTCGCCATTGGTACATGCAGTTGTTCCCACATTTTAGGCATGCACTGTAACACAGACTACTACCACAAAATGCGGTTACTGGTCAAATTTCCTGAACTTTTTTACTAATTTCATATAGACTCAATTGGCTATGGCGTCGAATTTAGCCAGATAACTATAAGCATTTCATTCATTATGAACCAGTTATTTCCGCGTAAGTGACGGAAGGTCGTCTTTCAGTCTGTAAAAGTCAGTCTCTCCCATTCACCCCACCCCGGCGGGAGAAGTCATTTGATGATTTATTATAAAGCCTCGTCATGATTTTGATCAAATTTCATAATGATTTTAAGTTTGATGTAGGATTAATCTGCGGTTTCGAAATTGGAAAAACAGCCTAACAACTATATCAGTTTTTCATAAAATTTCAATTACCTAGAGTTTCACGAAATGTAACATATTTATGTTTGTTTAACACATACAAAGCCATATCTGCTTGAATTTATTGACTTGATTGCATACGAAACCAAAAATATAGCATTTTAGCTTTTCCTTTGATCTCATCATAAAAAATATTTTGACTAAGTGGAAAAATGTTTCGTTGTGTAGTAGGTACCTAAATCTATGTTATCTAATCTATGTACCTACCTTATGATATTGTGTAAGTAGATATTTAATGGAATAGAAGCGATGTAAAGTTAATCTAATTAATTAGATTCTGCTTGTTTCAAAGTATGTAATAATAAAAATGTGTTATTTATAAGTTAGTCTAATCGAGTTAAAAAGGAGGGTGTTTGGTTTTGACATATTTTTCGAGTTAAGGAAAGATGTGGAGGGCTTGTCAAATAAAAAAATCGAGTATTAGTGTCAAATTAACGCTTTATCATTGTATCCTTCACATGTGTGAGACTTGTGACGTCATAGCATTGAGACTTAGATTTAGAATTAATGTCTACTGTACTTACTTTAGGGTTTTTTGGTGTATACAATTTAACCGTAAACAATGAGTGGCTCTGCGCTAAAGCGCTAAGCGCTGGATCAATTTCAACAATTTATAATGTACTTGTATTATAACTATAATAAAAAAATTGGTGTTAATTGAACTCATTCATTGTGAGTGCAGGAACATGTGTGCTGTAATTTAGATATTTCTTAGTAAATGTTATAAATATTATTTTTTGGTTTAAATTTGTTAGAAGCGAAATGTATTTATGTTATTTTAATTTATAAAAGAATGTTTAAATATTGTAATAACTTAAAAACTTAATTAATAAGGAAATCTGTATCTAGTCTTGCTTGTCGTCACCGCATCGCTGTCATAAAAGACGCTGGTTGCAACGATCCGCGCCGTGTCGGAGTAAACATTCTATGCATGTCTTTTTAACGTTATTATTGTTAACGACCATGAACTCCTACACATTATGTATTTTTATAATAATAAACAATTGATGATTATATCAAATAACTGTTATAGTAAAGTTGGTATGTGGGAAATTAGTGTTTTTATTTTTTAATCCTTTTACAGCTACGAAAACCGAGTTTGCTCTGCTACGCTTACAGAAGAGTATTTTAAGCTCTTGCAATAAAAAAATACCGATGTCCTAAATTGTTTTTGTTACAACCTTGGAAAAGACCAAAGAAAGACCTTTCTACGAATCCCAGTTTGCAAGGAGTATAGGATTATTTGCCTTACGTTTACAATCTACGGCGCATAATGTGCCAAATAAATGCAACTTGCACATAGGTGGATTTGTATGACTAGTGAGCATCGCAAGGTTGCCGCTCTGTGAAAACAATTTTGTTTAATTCTACGTAAAATGCATGTATTACAATCGTCACGAGATGAAAGCCACGTTTACCGGATATTAGGGCGCAGCCTTTTTTGATTTCGGCTTTATTGTCACCAATACAAATATACAAACAACATGCAAAAAAAACCAAAAGAAAAACACGAACAAACCGGTATGCTCTCTCAATTCTAATTTAAGAACTGGGACGTTATGTAGCATGATTGATAATTGCATTAATTCATCAAAACCCTATCCTTATTATACATAGATTTTATCTATACTTAAGAAAAAAAAACACTGTAAAGATTCGCTAGAACGGAGGATTTGTATGAAGCCTTTCTGTTATTATTTCTAGGACTGTGACATAACCAATTCAGTACATCTTTCTTGCAAGAACGAACAAGCCTGACAGATTTTTACTCGAACATTATAATTAGGCATTCCAGTGTCATTGCTTTGCCTACCTGAAAGGGATATAGATTTGCTACATGTATGTAACGTAACATACTAGGTGAGTAACATAATTTTTTTAATAACCTTCGGAATAATATCTAGATTCTAATTGTTTTTTTAAAGGGATAGATACATAGAGAATGTTGATCTACTAGAAGAAGTGAGCTATTAACAATGGAAGGATCTAGAAATGCTTCCATTAAGAGGGTGAAACTGTGAAAGGTAACTTAATGCAGTAACTATTCAAACGGTGGTTATCCGCTTTCTGCGAAGCAGTGATACTCGCAAAGGAGGGGGCGGAGCGCGTGAGGGAACTATCCTCCTCGCGCCCCAGCCGCCGCAGTAGGCGACATTCCGGGCGTAAGGGAACGAGAAATGATACCGGCCACCGTATGCGCTGGTCAGCGGTCGGCGAGTAAGGGTAGCTCGCCGCGCGACCAGAACCAGACCCGAGCATACGGCGCGCGCCTCAAAGAGCGAATAGACCACCACAGACGGGGCCCAATAGGGCTGATGATCAGCCGGGGTTGCGGGGTAAGCGAAATGAATCACCGCGGCCTCGGCCCAGGGCAGGAGAAGGAACGGGTGTGTTTTTAGTCAGTAAGAGTCTGACACTCTCTCTCGCATTCCCTGGGCGGGAGAGGTCATTTGATGATTTTCCCCGAACAAAAAAAAACGGTGGTCATCATTGTTTTCTTGACCTATTAATTTCAAATAGGCAAGTCGTTAGCTATATTACACAGGTACACAAATAAAGCCAATAACACTGACTAGAGCCTACAGCTCCACGCTTTCGAGACTAATGTTTGTCAACAGCACGTAAACGTATTGACGTTAGAGGTAAGATCTAACAGTGCCTGAACTGTCCAATGCATTAGAATCTAGTCACATCTGAGGACGTAATCTTTATTGAGAGGTACATTGAATATGTCAGTAGGATTCAAACCCTAAGTTTATTAACTGATATGTATATCTACAATGCTATGGATGATGATAATTAGGCAAATGTAATACGTTTTTATTAAATGTGAAATACTAGACATTACATTAAAAAAATTAAAACCTTGCAATTATTTAGAGCAGCGTTATGTTACATAGTGGCACCAACTTCTTAAGTACTGGTAAGTAAATAGTTATTAGTTGATTTATAAAACGTAGATAGTTTATTAATTAGGTACTTATCCATATTTATGCATAACAGTAACAGACTAATCTCAACCCGTTGAGAAGTTTTGCCTTTCAAAATAAGCCCATTCGCATGAAATGATGATTGTCAGATGACAAGGTACGTGTATATTATTTGAGGGTTGCCATCGATTGCAAATTGTGTTAATACATATAAAAAAACTACGCGAATTGACAACCTACTCCTGTTTGGGAAGTTGGTAAAATTTTCGTATGATAAATGGGGGTTGGTTTCGATGCAAGTAAAGAAAACAAACATGTCACCAACAATAGTTCAAATCAAAGCTTTATTTTCAACAAGAACAATAGCACGATGAGTCCTGAAACGTAAATATTTATTAAATGTACCTATGTCTATGACTAATACAAGCACACTTTATGGTACGTTACAGCTATTAGAAAGCAGAATAAAGACATGTTAGCGTATTCAATTACAATGAAAAGTTATCAGTGGAACCTCCTAATGTGATACGTGGAAAATTCTAGTATACTAAGCTATGAGCAAATAAATAATAATGCTCTTTGTGTGGTCCAAAATCTTCAGCAATTGTGCGTCATGTACAATTAGTTTCAATTAGTTATATACATCAAGTACAATTACCCAGAGAAATTGTTATATACATCTTTAACTTTTGAGCTGCTTTATTTTTTAAAATATTCTTAAATACTCCTTTGCGCTCAAACACAGCCTTTAAAAATTACTTATGTTAAACAGCACAATGTACATACAATCTAGCAGCAATGGGTGAATGATTGGTGTGAAGCAGAACGTGTGGACGAGAGTAGGTACGATTGATATTTAATTAGCAGAGTATTCAGAACACCCCCCATAGATCCCCGTCACACAATAGCCCAAAATAAACTAACCACTTTAAATTCGCAAAGGTATTGGCGTGCAGAATTAAAATATTAATGTCGGATGAAATGGCTGAATTAATTTGTCAATATTATTTATTGTGTACCCATATTCATTTCACAACATATGTATTAATTGAATTCCTATTATTATGTAAAGCAGGAACTCGAAATTATGCTATATGTAGTGGATATTGAGTTTGTTTGATCTCTCTTATGACGCACCTACCTATTTGTAGTAGGAAGTAAGTAACAAATTCTATTGACAAATAATGGTTTATCTATTGGATATCTGAAAATACAATATCTTTGTGACAACAATACTTACATAACACAATAACAGTACCTACGTACGGAAGTTATGTATACAACAATTTACAATGACATATTTGGGAAATAAGACAACAAGATAAATATTTAGTAGACTTTACATTTGTACCACAGGTAATAAATATCAGCTATGTTATGCTTATTATTATAACATAATGATACAACCCATTTAAATACTTTATACCTACGTTATGTCGGTATATACACAGAATATATTATTGTGTGCGAGATCGGCACATTAGCACATAAATATGTCAGCCGAGGATAACAAGTCTCACTTACCTTCCTTACCTTGTTTAAGATGGCAGCTCACTCGAACAAAGTAAAAAGAAACAAAAATAAAAAATACGCTATTAAACCCTTTCATTAACCGGGGAACATTTTATGCCCGATTGTCAACTTATTGAGCTACAAATAAAAAAAGTTAAATAAGAACTTCAAGCGAATGACAATCCAAATCTTAACACGCAAAGACTAAAAGTTGCATGTCACCTTGTCTTAATTAGAATACTAAAGAAGGTGCAGTTGTAGCTCTTGCTGTCCTATTGGTGGTGTAGAGGCACAGAGGTATTAACTCACCAGAGTCGTCGTCAGAGGGAAGAGGCCCCACGGTGCCGAAGAATCGCTTGTCAAGTAGTTGCAGCAACTGCAGGGCGCTCTCATGCACCGGCGCCCGCGGGCAACCCGTGCACATTAGCGTCACATTGATGATGGCCGTGTAGTGGTCGCACGGATACTCCCTAATACAAAAAAAAAATACTTTACAAGAGAATCCATATACTAACAAAATTAATCGTAAAATGTGTTGGTAAGCATGTAACTTTACGACCTTGAATCAATTATGGCAATTCTCTTTTTGTTGTTGTTGCCAGGTGTTAGAAACTCTTGCGAGACAAGGGCGGCCGTTTGGTACTTATAATTTTATATAAAATACAAATCAAAATCTGTTTGTCTCGAGTGATTTCAACAATCACTTAAGATGTCTAACGATGTTTATATGCCTGTTATTATAAACATAAAAAGTATTTTATTTTGCGAAACATCACTGGGTAATTATTTGGAGTGGCATTCTATATTCAACGCGTTATCGATCGGAACGTTATCTACTCAGAATTTTAGGCATAAATTATTATTTTTTACTGGTATCCGAGCTCACACGATCCCTATACAGATTTTGTTGATTTGCGAACATTTAAATTATTTGGCTGCAACAATCGTGTACCAACACAAATCACATGAATTTAACAAATTTTTTTTATAGACTATGTTGATTTATCTGCTACTCAAAGAGAAAAGGAACACCTTGGATATATTTAAAATACATGAATTTAAACAAATGAATAAGACTATTAATATACGCAACTAGCGGACGCCCGGGGATTCGCAGGAAGATGTCAATTTAAAAAAAATTCAAGATTTTCTTAAAATTTTCTTTGTGTACACCTCTGGGTTTCCACGAACGATTCAAGACCAAAATTTGCCAAATCGGTAAAGGCATTGTTATAACTTAACATTACAACGAAAAGTGGCATTGATTTATTTATATATTTTATGGATTAATCCCGCCATAAAACATTGTCTCCATTGAGTTCTGCCGTGTCCTCAAATAAACTTCATAGATCTGCAATACACTGATCACAGACGAGAATACATTGTAGGTACGTTGTCATGCAATTACAGTATCGGTGGATGCCGATAGCGTTCAGTGTTGTTTGCCAAAGCTCGTTCGACACCAACGGATTATTGAACCTAAAAATAGTTTTCAAGCATTGTCCAAACGTCAGAGCCAAGCTTTGTAACTGTTATTTCACAAGCGCATTTCAATTGCATTATTCACTCAATCGTAATATAAACATGATTTTCAGTAAATTGAATAAAATTCAAAAATATTTGGTTTTTCTCACTTCAGATGTAATTAAATGAAATCTCGAACAAACCGTATAACTAGTTTAGTAAAGTTAAAATGTTTTACTTACAATAGTTTGGACGACGAGGACTGATTCGTAAATGACTTTTAAATTAATTAATGACGAGCCTAATGACAGTACTTCTTTATGCACGTAATCATACATAGACACCTATCACGAATACCGAAACTCACCAATAAATTGAAGATTTGAATAACCGTCTATGAGCCCATGGTGTGCATTGGTTTATCATATCGTAGCACCGTAGCACGTGTACCGTCGTAGCGCTACGGCGCCAACACGGTGCATTTCAGTTTCGTTAACGACAGGAAGCTCATATTTAGTGTTGACAAACTTAGATTTACCCCTTTCCTAATGAATTATGGTTTAACATTTTTTAGCTTTAGTTACAAAACAGTAATAGGAGTGATATCCGAAATAGTAAAAAAAATCATTTTTTTATATAAATGTTTTTCTACGTCCTTACGCTCTGATCTCCAGAAAAAAATGGAACTATAATTTGTTGTAAGCCATTGCTAGTGTTCTCTTCTCTTATCTTAAGCGGGTACAAATACAAGGTACACAGCCTCATAAGATATTCTTTGCAAAATAATTCAAAGTTTACTGTAATTACTTTAAAAAGGTACCGGGCAAATTACTACAGGCGGCCACGTAGCCCCGTGGCACCCTCCTTCCCTCCACAAACTGTTTCTGCTTTTGCTTTTTCTAATTAAGTATCTCAATTTATGTTGAAAACAACGTAAGCGTTGTTTCACGGCAGATTTATAGGGAGGACCCTAGTCGAACTAGGCCATTTGTGCCAAGGCGTGGTTGATTTAAGAAATTCTTAATGTAGGTCGGGGTCCAGCCATTCGGTAGCTTAGTAAAAGACTGGTATGAGACGTCAATACCGAAAAAAAATTAATGAGTATTACTCAAAATGAATAATATAAGACATTAGGCTATTTTTGATAAGGAAGAGTACATTGTACTATTACTACTACTACTACTGAATGCAGTATACATTCGGTACCAAACATTCGCAAACACAGCGGCTTTCAAACAACTTTTTGATGAGTTTCGAAATATGTATAGAGAACAAATATGGAATGCAATCATTTTTACAGTGTATTGTAGACCATCGGGAAACATTTTTTGTACAAACTAAAAACCAATAACTACCCAATCGAGTGTGGATGCACAAACAAACCGGTGCGTGAATGTTTGTTTTCATTAATCGTACACAACATCTGTTTATATTTATGTATTTCGTTGCATACACATCTTATATCTTTAAACGAGCAATTTTTGTATATAAATATACATATAGTTCTTTGTGAGCCTATACGTGCTCGCTGCTGAGCAACGCTTGCTCGAGGCGGATTGGCGAGTCCAATTTTCGACGTTTTCGATTCGATTCGATTTCCTTACGACGTTTTTTCACCGTATTTTAGTGGTGTCTGGATCATCATCGAAAGTACATGTAACTTGGAAAAGTTACGCTTGACTCGGGTTCGGCCGGACTGGTTCTGGTCGGGCGGCGAGCTACTCTAGCTCGCCGTCCGCAGGCCCGAGCTTACGGTGGCCGGAGATGCCAGGAGTGTCACTTAATGCGGTGGCTGCTGCGTGAGGAGGATAGTTCCCTCACGCGCTCTGCTTCCTCCTTTGCGATCATCACTGTTTGGCAGAAAGAGGAGACGGCTTTCCAGTTTCTCTCGTTCCGCACCATGGCCTGGACTAAGGCTGGATGCGAGAGCACGGCAGATACATATATACAGACTGAATATCGGAAATGATACCAACGATTTTCATAAAATTTTGTATAAAGGAGTTTTCCGGGGGCTTTAAAACGATCTGAGTCACATTCCTTTTCAGATGTAAAGAAATACTAGGTCTGGGTACTATTTTATTATAGGTTTCAATTATTGCAATGTGTATTTGAAATAGCGACACTAAATCTCGCGTCTTTCAAAATATATAACTCAAAAGGCGCAATTAGATCTCTACTCTCAAGTTATTCATTAGCTGCAATTCCTCGGATGAATAACGAAGGTTTTATTTAATTCGATGATGAGGTACAATCTGCAGGTATTCATGTAATAGCATGTAGCTCAGCAGGATAGCATTCAACCTGTATACATCGTAAGTAAACAAACTATTCGATTCGCGACATTAGATGGCGCCACTATTGTATACCGTCTACTAATTGAATAACCTTTGCTTTTATAGTACAAGATGAAAGCAGGCAAATTATGCATATTTCATTATAACATTCATTTTAAATGTGGGATAACCCGTTGCTGAGCAAAATTTCAGTCTCAAAACGTTAGTTATTACATTTGTAATAACTAACGTTTACAAACTAACTAACGTTTGTTAAGTTTTTCGGCTTACAGTAAATACTGTCGTCGTAAAACAGCCGTCACAATTGTTTTTACGTCGAGGTTTTTGTTTAAAATCCGTAGTTCTACAAATTACACAAAAGGGTGTTGCAGACATTGCGCATTCTGAGTGGAAGCAGCGACTGTCGCAACCGAGGGCCGGGCACGCTGTCCTCTTTGAGGAGTGGCTTGAGAGACGCCACGGCGTCCTCACCTTCCACCTGACGCAGTTGCTTACCGGGCACGGCAGCTTCAGTAGGTTCCTGTTTCGGATCCAACGAAAGGAAACGCCCGAGTGACCTCATTGTGAGGACCACCTAGAGGACACAGTGGAGCATACGGTGGTCGAGTGCCCTGCTTGGGCTGACCACCACCGTGTCCTCAGGGAAGTGATCGGCGGCGGCGACCTCTCGCGCCCGGCTTTAGTCGAGGCCGAGAGACGGAGTTGGTTCGTAGCGAGAGGAACTGGGAAGCCTTCTCCTTCAGCCGCCGCAGTAGGCGACATTCCGGGCGTCAGGGAACGAGAAATGATCTCCGGCCACCGTAAGCGCTGGTCTGCAGACGGCGAGTAAGGGGAGTAATACCCTATTACTTACTAAGTCTCCGCCGTCCGTCCGTCAATAGATAGAAAGGTACGGATCTAACTAATAGGTAAGAGTTACAAATATTTGATAAAACCTATATTATATTATATTTTATACCGCATCGTGTCGAGCACGGCAACCGCTACACAAAAATAATTCTTATACCATGATTCAGTGTTCACTTGCGACGGCGCTATGTCTTATTATCCGAATTGCTAAGCTATCAGGAGTTACACGTGCTATTGTGAGTTAACCATAAAAGATAGACATATGCTGTAGAACATTTTTTTTGACAATTTTATTTAAAATATTTCCGTCATACATAATTTCTATGTAAGTTTCAGTCGCGTGTGTAACCTTAATGTAACCATTAAGGTTACACACGCGACTGAAACTTACAAAAGGGAGTAACTTCTCCCGTTTTCCCAACATTTTCCTTCACTGCTCTGCTCCTATTATTTGTAGCGTGATGAAAAGTATCCTATCTACCTGCCCAGGAGTATAAAGAATAATTGTACCAAGTTTTGTTAAAATCCGTCGAGTAGTTTTTGTTTCTATAAAGAACATACAGACAGACAGACAGACAGACAGACAGACAGACAGACAGACAGACAGACAGACAGACAGACAGACAGACAGACAGACAGACAGACAGACAAAATTTTTACTGATTGCATTTTTGGCATCAGTATCGATCACTATAGATCACCCCCTGGTAGTTATTTTGATAATATTTTTAATGTACAGAATTGACCCCTCTACAGATTTATTATAAGTATAGATGTTGTACATGATTTTTATCAGAGTTCCAAAAAGGAGAGTGACTCTCAATTCGACTGTAACATTTTTTTTTTTTTGTTTTTCCGTC